GTATAATCTCTTCCTGATTTTGGGTGTCTAGATTTTAAAGAAGAATCTTTCTTCTGTACTGGCAGCCTCTTATGATGAAAATCCATTGCAATTACTTTGTGGACCTTGGTATAAAAATAATTAAGAAGATAAGCTTACTTGAAATTTTTCTTTCTTTGACTTGTAAGATCCATGTCTGTGACACCATGAATGCTTGTGAGGGGAATGTGAGGATTTGGGTTTGTTATTATTAGGTAGAATTAGTGCTGTAGTAGCAGCAATTGGTGTGGTTTTTCTGGAAACACAGTTAAGTCAATCTATCTGTAATGTAGGAAGGAAGATTTAAATGATACTGGGGACTGTTTCAATTGGAGGAAACTTCAGTGGGTCACTTTTGCTGCCAGTGACTGTTTGGCCTGATTCTACACCATTCTGCAAAGTGGCTGAAGCATCACCATATTGCGTCTGTGGCCTCTGCTATTCAAAGAGCAGATATTTTCAGATAAGCGCATATAAATTTTCCTATTCACTGAGAGAAGTAATGCAAATCAGAATGTCAGTTTTGATTTACTGTATTCCTAGAGGATAGTGTGCATGGGTGCTTTTCCTATGAGGCTGTCTATGCTGCAGAGATTTAATTTTCAGCAGGGAACATATTATGCAGCTTATTTGATTGCAAATCTGTTTAAACAGCTTTCAGCTTTATATTTCCCAGTTAGGTAATGTAGCTTTAGATACTAATTGCACAATTGGCTTGATATGAGTCACACAGATTTAAGGTACAGTGCGCCTGGTCTGACTGCTTGTTAGCTTTAAGTGGCTTCATACAATAGCTTCCCTACAACTGAATTTAACTTTTTCATTTATTGAGTTCTCTTTTGAATAATTCTTGTCTGAGGAAGAAGGATTTTCTTGGTAGTCAAGGAATGGCCGTCTTCATTCATGAAGTTTTGATGCTGGAGTATGCATGTTTTATGGATTGGTATAAGTTCTAACTGGTACACCAGTGTGATGAAATAAAGTGATTTTTAAAACTCAAAAATAAACGCATGGCACAGAGAGCATCTTCTCTACCTGTTTCTTGTGGTTCCGTTTTCCTGTTGAGGATGGTGGGAGGGATCATTTTCCAGTCACAATCTGTTTTGAAAGTAGTGAGCTTCACGCCTAAGATTTCTTCTTTCGTCCCTCCATTTCACAGGTCTAAAAGATGCTACAGGCTCTGAGAGTGATGGTGGTGACTCTTGCAGCACAAAATCGGAAGGAGCCAACGGAGGCACGACAATCCAACCCAAAAAGATCAAGGGTGTTGGCTTTGGAGATATCTTCAAAGACAAACCTATAAAGCTACGACCAAGGTCAATAGAAGTTGAAAATGACTTTCTCCCAGTAGATAAGGTACATGTCATTTCTTAATTCTGTCTTGGTGTTGGTTTAAAGAAGTTTTCACCCTAAAGTTCTCAATTCTGTCACTGGCCAAACCTCGAAGGTTTTATGGTCATTATTTCCTAATCTTTCTGTGGACAAGATTCTGCTTTTTTTCCTTTTGCTGCACACCAGAAAGTGAATTCCAGTGAGGCTAGCTGCCTGCAAGAACTGTTACTTTGCTTAAAGATTTACTGCTCTGTTCATACCTCCATCAGCCTTTTCTCTAAGAAAATATTAGTTTAGAGAACAAGACTGGAGAGGCTTTTCAGGTTTGCAGTTACTCACATTATGGTTAAAAAAACCGAACAGCTAATTCGTATATAAACTAAGAGGGAGATACTGTCACTGTGCCATCAGTTTGCTTAAAAAAAAAGGAAGCTTTGGCAAATACCTAAATACCTCAACTTAGTACTGGGTTTGTTGATTTTAAAATGCTTTCAAAAATTGCCTAGCTTTGTTTAAAGGGATTAGTAAAACGGAGAGCATTATTTTTTGTGGGTTTGTTCTATATGACATAAAAAGAAAGTCCTGAGATTAACATTTGGGGAAAAAATTTACTTTCTGACAAATTGAAAGAGACCATCTGAGAGAGCACTCTTTGTTCCAAAGCCTCCAAAACTATCACTAAGTAAATTAGAAATAGAGATTAGAAAGCAAAATGAGATGTTTCTAATACACTCGAGAAGGCAAACTTTTTTTTTTTTTTTTTTAAAAAAAAGGATTGATCACTCTAAGGTATGTTCATTAGGAAACAAACAAAGATGTGCATTGTTTCCTAATGAAGTAACAACCAAAGAAAAATCTTTGAAATCCTTCCTTCAAGTCAGCAGTTAGATTTGCATAGGGTTGCTGATATGCTGAGAAGTGTTAGGAGGCTTCCATGGGCTGGAGTTCTGCTATGGGCATAGTTATGTGATGCATTTTCTTTGTCTCCATGGTGATTTTAAGAAGCTCCGGGGCAGCTGCTCTTGTTCCCTGGCAGCTTCTCACCTTTTGAGTTGTGCTTGTCCAGTTGTCTGTAGAACCAGGCGCTTCATGAATTACATCTTTTTGGCCTGCAAAGCTTTGGTTTTTAACCTAGATCATTTCAGTGACCTTGTTTATAGCATAGCACTTACCCCCACATCTGCCCTGAGTTACAGCGGTACAGCAGAAGGGGAGATCCTGCAGAGGCATGGTGGAAACTTCTTAAGTTAGTTACGCTGAAGGAGAATTGGTTAATATTTCACAGTAGACTGCAATTTGCATTCTGTATAAGGGGGGTAGTGAAGAGCTGGGATAATCTAAGTAAAGGAAAAACCTAGATTATATTACTCCTTGACCATTGCTGACTTCTTCAAAGCCTGCTTGGTACCCTGCTTGCCTTCTGTCTCTGAGTGGGCTTATTAACGTGCAGGGCTTTGTTAATGTGCAGGACTAGGAGCAGCTGAGTTGTATTCCAATGGCACCTCATCAAAGAAGTCCCCCTGGGATACAAGATAGGGACAGGACAGGCCCGGCAGTGTTCACTGAGTGCTAGCTAATGAACCACCCTCCATTCAGGGAATGTGGTGGAGAGCAGTGAAGTCAGCTTTGCATGGAGCCATCATGGTGTCTTTCTGCAGCGTGGTTTATTTGTGACCCTGACAACCTGCCAGTGTTTAAGGTGCGACTGGGCTTTATGAAAGCTTTGTAAGTACGCTGAAAAAGAATTTTACCAGAACATGAACTTGATTAAGAAAAGGTTTCTTTTTTTTTTTTTTACCCCATTTTGGAGGTTGTTTGTCTTTATATTTTGATGGCATCCTGTGATCTTGTACTTAGAAGTACAAGTCTTTCCTTACAAGTCCCATGTAAGGAAAATTGCTGTGTATATAGGAGGCACCTGGTAGCAGGCAGACTTAAACTCATGCACGGCTGTACTTAAACCTTTTTTTTTGGACTCAGGACATAGAAAGTCCTGTAGCATCAGGAAGTGTGTATTTTAATAATGCAGTTCTACAAGAGGTGAGTTTTAAATTATTAATTTCCCGCATTTAGGTATGTAAAGGAAATACGTGGTGCAAGAAGAAAATCACCTAAGATAAAGACACTATTATAATTTACATTATAATAGTATTTATAATTGGTGTGTAACATAAGCATTCACTTGTAAGGGTGATGCATATGTAGGCACTGACCAGAATTCAAGTGTTGCACAAAATTCAGTTCTCCCTGGTCTGATATAGGCAGATTAGATTTTACAAATGATAAGGCCCTGTTAATGCCACATGAAGGATTTCTTGTGTCTGCAGTTTACTATAATTGTAGCTCTCTCTACAGTAGTGATTGTAAATGGGAACTGATTAAAATAAATTATGTATCCCTTGAACTCTGGAGTCCCTTGTTTTAATGTGAAGTGTTTGCAAAGTGCTCATGAAGTGGCCTTCATTCCCTGAAGAGAAGTCTTACTCCACTTTATAATAATGAGAAGTCTTACCTTTGTTTTTCACAAAGAACAAATATTTGTGCAGCATAAGTCAATAGGTTTGTTACCCAGCCAAAAATTAAATATAGAATTTTGAGAAAATTGCTAAAATTTTCCATCCTACCCACAGACCTTCCTTCCTATGTCTTCAGATTTCTCCTAAAGTTGGCATGGTTAGTGGAAAATAATGGCTTTATTTTTGTAAACACGATCCATTATTTGTGTTTCAAGTGTGCAGATAACTAAAAGCAATGCTGCTTTGCTGTCATTGCTTTTTTGCTGTCTAGGGTCAGGATGGTTAACCTTTGAGCAGTGCCATTCAGAGGCTTCAGCACTGTGGTGTTTGCCTACTCATAGCACCAAAACGTGATTCACTGACACAATGTTTGGTTACGATTACAAAACATTAACCTCCGAAGTACTTCTCTCCTGGCTGCAAGAAATTTCCTCCCTCGTCACTGCCATGGTCTTTGCCATGTAATGCTGGCTGAGAGAGAGAGAATCCTGCGTTGTTTGTCATTCCAAGCAAGGTCATACTTTGCTTGAAAGCTCTGCATACTAGGTCAAAAGTGTTGCAATGTATGATGCCAAGTGCCAAATTGGTACAAATTTTTCTCTAGCAATGTAGTTTTTAAAGGGATCTTTGCCCCGGTATGTGCCTCGCTCATTTACAAGTAGCCTCAGTTTTTCAATAACTTGTAATCTCTTGAAGAGGCAGAAACAATGCTTTCCTCAATTCCTCCTTTTTTTTTTTTTTTTTTATTTCTTCTGAAGTTTGGAGACTCTAAAACTCTTTCTGTTGCTTCTTCTGTTTTTCTTGGTAGTTATTGATGAAACATTTTATATATTACTGTAATGATCCTGTTACCTTTTTGATTTAAAATATTTCCTAACAACTACTGATTTTTTTACTGATCAATATATTACTGTGAGGATTTTATAATGTGGGATTATTTAGAACAAGATAATTCCCATGGAAAATGTCGGTCCCGTTTACAGAAGAATCAACAGGGTCTCATTTTGTTGGCGTTACCACTTTGTGTTCTAATGTGTTTTCAATTTTATGAATCATAAGTTTAGATCATATTTCACACAGAGGTGATATGAATTATTGGTGTGTTAAGTTAAGAAGGCTTTTACACAAATATTGGCAGGAATATGAGGGCAGAAAGGATTGCTGCCAGTTGAGCAGAAGCAGATGCCGTTAGGCTCTCCTGTAAATCACCAGGCAGTTTGATGTGCTCCAAGTGTTAGCCCAGTGGTAACAATGTAGGATATAGCGGCCCTTGTCTTTTAAGGTGATCAATAAACTCTCTAACTAAAGGCAAAACTGAGGAATTGCGTGAAACCCCATTGGGTGTGCAGAATTCATTGTTTTGCTGTTCTTTGTTCTAAAAATCACAGAAGCAAATTATCCTAGGGAAATTAATGTTGCAGTTGTGGGAGTTTAATTTGAGCAGTGCCATCAGAGCTGTGCCTTTTTAAAAAAATAAAAGAATCAAATACTTATGCTTTGTAGTCCTTTTCTTTGCCTGTTTGCGTTGATGAATCGACCACTGGCCATGTATAACTAGAATCAGATTCCTGAGGCTTGGCTCTGTCAAATTCCCATTAATGGTAGGGGTAAGTGAACTAATTTACAGTGCTGCATGTGACTGAAGACATAGCTTGCTGACAGATGAATTTTTAGAAGAAATACAGTATGCGTATAGGCATGTTGTGTCTCCTGAGAAAATTCAGTGTAACGCTGTTGTAGTAGCACAAGTTTTATGGTCAAATAGGAATGCCCGTTTCACATGTCCTCCTTCTGCTCGTGCAGCTTCAAGACATTTAAACAGGTGTTTATGCTTATTTCTTTTTTCCTTTTTCATTTTGTAGTAGCTTATCTAAAACTTCTGTTTCTAGTTTGGACTTCCTTCCAATATGATCTATATATGCTTCTGTTGTTCTAACAAGCTATCACTTTTTCCTCTCCTGTATCTAAAAATAAACCTCTAAAAGTATAGGAAAATTAATTCAACCAATACATTCCTTAGTCTGAGTTAACTGTATCGGGTTGGTCTGTGAGTTGAGGCTTCAGCTGGAAATGCGAAAGGCCATAATAGGTGAATATAAAACAAAAAGTTTTAAAAAGCCATTTTTATCTTTCTGAAAACTGCCCTTACTTCTGAAGAGACTATCAAGAGTATTTTTTACATTTTCCATTTGAGATATATTTGTAGTTTTCTTCAGGCAAGTCTTGCATAGTTGGCTAGCAGTGGTGAATTTGAGCAGAGCTAGATTTCGTTAACAGCCTTTGATGAGGTCACATTAGTGTTTGCCAGAACTTAATATAAATTATATACTCAACCATCAAACTGGGGAATGGAAGCAGCCACCATAATGATTTAATATAAAGGGGGAGGCTATCATGGCTCTAGATCCAGCAACTTGTAAGATCTAGTTAACTGGTGTTTAAGGATCCTTCTCACTGCAAAATACTGAATTTATACAGAAATTTTTATTTATGTATATATTTAGTATG